TGATGGCACCTACCCTGGTGCACACGTGAGAAAGTGAAGGCCAATAGTCGGGAAGGCGGCTTCAATCGGGGGTTTCGTGTTGACTCCATTGACTAATTTCCACGTGAATGATTATATGAAGGTGATATCAATTAATTGTTGATTGCTCTCCGTATTGCCAATTTGTGTGATAACTGCAATGAATCATAAATAACTAAAAAAGGGTTGACCCAGCATTAAAAATATTTAGCTATTTGCTATGATTGTGTTTGGTGGAATTAGAGAAGGGTCATCCTAATCCTTACTTACTACGAGAACTTGAAATACTCACACCCCCCCCCCTTCCAACGCTCCCCAGGTATTAGAGGGAAAGAAGAATTCTGGAGTCCAAATCGAACGAACGAAGATAAAACGGGTCGGTAGGTAGTAAAATCATATGAGTTAATTGAGATATATGTAAATGCAAAGGTAATTAGTGAAGTTAAACTTAATAGAGTTCCCCCCCCCCCTTCCAACCTCCCCAGGTAATAGAGGGAAAGAAGAATTCTGGAGTCCAATCGAACGAACGAGATACGGGTCGGTAGGAGTAATAATCATTGTATTGAATATGTAAATGCAAAGGTTAGTGAATTATGGACTAGAGTTCCGCAATTGTATTCCAACTGGATTGTAAATGAATAAATAGAGTATAGACATTTATTATATGGATTGTACTTTGGATATATTTCTAAAATAAATTATTGGGCCTGAATCCACAATTGTGAATAGAATGCGAGTTTTAAGTAATACAGGCTTACTACGGGCTTCGGGAGCCTTAAGGGCCTTAAGTCCACCCAAGTCCTAGTGCCGGTCCGGTCCATGGAAATGGGTCGTGACATAGACTTTGTTTAAAAACTTTTGAATGAATACATAAAATTAATTTTTAAATTTTGTAAAAAATAATAATAACACGCTTAACTTTTAAATTTGACCAATGTAGTACTTCAATTTATAAAATAAATATGTTGAATACTTTAATATGTAAAAATTCTATTTAATTATTTATTAAACACAAATGTAGAGATTTATCAATTATCGAACATAGTGTTACACATTTTTTTTTAGCATAAGTTATTGAATAATAATTTTACATTTTTGACTGCTTTGATAAGTTTTGATTGATATAATTTTATGATTTTTAATATATTCAATTGAGTGATTTTATAAATTAAAATATTGAATATTTGTGTTTTTATAAATAAAAATATTTAATAGATTAAAACAAAAGTTAAAATACTGGTTTAATTTTTATGGTGAAGTTGAAGTGAAAATTTATATATTTGGAAAAGGAAAATTTTGATTTTAATTTTGACCATCAAATTGATTGGTCAACAACAACCAACCATTATTTTAAAAATCTTGAACCGTCGGTTCCATGAACCAAAACCAACCATTCAATGAATCGGCCACACCTAATGTAGACAAAATGAATAAATATTATATAAAAATCAAAATGGAATAAAAAATAAAACTTTATGATTGAAATAATCATAACGTAAAATAATATCTTTAAGATTTAAAAGTAAAATGATAAGAAGAAAAGTTTTTGATATAAAATAATAAAAAATCCTATAGCCAAAGAAAAATAAAATTATTATGGTGTTTTTTTTATAAGTATATTTTATAAGATTTCTAATTGAGTTATATTATAATTTATAAGTATATTCCTTCCTTAAAGATTTCTAATTGAAGTAGCCAAAGAAAAATAAAATTATTATGGTGTTTTTTTTATAAGTATATTTTATAAGATTTCTAATTGAGTTATATTATAATTTATAAATTATTTATATTTAAGATATTATCGTACGTCTTATGTTCAAGTATTGAAAGTACAATAATAAATTTAAATAGTAAGTGTCAATTTTTTAATTGTTTTAATTAAATTATTTTTATTATTTTTTTAGAATAATATATTATAAGAGTTAGCTAACACAGCTGAATTAATCATGGATATCAATTTATCCTTTATTATTTAATCATTTTATTATTTTATTAATAGTTTAATTTGAATTATTTTAAAATTTTTTAAGTCATTTAAATTAATATAAAATAAATTTATATAATTTTCTATCAATTGAGTTAAAATATTTTGACATGTACTAGATATTTAACTTTATTTGATAATTGGTTTTTATTTTAGGGTTAAGATAAAAAAATTTTTTGATTTTCTATTTTTATATTTCCTAGTTAAATATTTAATTGAATAGTATTAACCAATCTAATTACAAATTATTATATAATTTTAATCAACCAATAAAATTAAAAGTTTTCTAATTAGGATGAGACTATTCTATACTTAGGATCCGATGAAGGAAAATTTAATTGAATAGTATTAACCAATCTAATTACAAATTATTATATAATTTTAATCAACCAATAAAATTAAAAGTTTTCTAATTAGGATGAGACTAAATTACCATTAATGATATTGTTAATCAATCAATAAAATTGAAATTCCTATACATACAAAAAAAACTATGATTTACCAAGTTTTCGCATTGCGCATGTTGCTTTATTATTATTTTTTAAAGAATTTTTTAATTACTATATTATAATTTATACTTCATATATTGCATTTACTAATAAATTAACAAAAACAAAAAGATCTCTTGATTAATGTGAACAAATAAATTTATCTTTATAGGTGTGAACCAATAAATATAGTCGTACATATAAAGTTTTAAAAATGAAAAACTAATTTAAGAGTCTTGTTTAATAGTTTCTTCTAAAAATATAAAATCTAGAATATATATACGCATGGAGCAATGACCATATTTTGCATTCATAATCACTTCATTCAACATTTTGAGAAATTCAACCAATCCCGCAAGGTCAAGTTTATGCATCATTAAAAGGAAATAAAGGCAACAAAGAACATTACAAAAATAAATTGTAAATGGAAATAACGAACATTACAAAAACAAAGAACATTACAAAGAACATTACCACAGTAAAAGGAAATAACGTTGGAAATGTGAAAGTTTATAATAATATCAACCTAGTACATACAAAACCATTCTTTTCTACTTGAAGCTATATTGAAAAATAGAAAGAGTTTATACTAACATAAATTTTTGAGTACTAATGATTAATAAAGGCAACAAAGAACATTACAAAAATAAATTGTAAATGGAAATAACGAACATTACAAAAACAAAGAACATTACAAAGAACATTACCACAGTAAAAGGAAATAACGTTGGAAATGTGAAAGTTTATAATAATATCAACCTAGTACATACAAAACCATTCTTTTCTACTTGAAGCTATATTGAAAAATTTGATTGAATATCATTGCCGGGTAGGAACGATGATGGAAGCAAAAACTACTTGTGAAAAGATGATTGGATTGTGGACGTAAGCAAAAATATATGTAATACACTAACTGATGCGCTATATAAAAGAGAGAAAAGAAAAAAATTAAATATACAACAAACTAATAAAAAAAAAAAAGAAAACAAAGCAGTAACCATATATTTTATGCAAAAACAATTATCTTGTTCGTTTAAGCTACTGACTATGACTATATATAGATATAAATATAGGTATAAAATTAAAAATTTTCAAAAGCTAAATTATTTTTAAGAATTTGAAATTTTAAAAAAAATCAAAATCAAATATCGGATAAAATTAAATATTTGTTAAATTAGATTTCAAAATATATTGCTATTATCTAAATATTAACTTTAAAATTAAAAAAATATATAACCATTCAATCAAAATATAGAAAAATAAAGAAAAAATTCAAAAATTTCAATTAAAAATTTTCAAAATTTTAAATTTTGAAAAAATAAAAATCAAATGCAAAATAAAATAGAATAGTTGTTAAATTATATTGGATTTAAAAATATATTGCTATTATCTAAATATTAATTATATTAATTTTAAAATTAAAAAACATATAATCATTCAATCAAAATATAGAAAAATAAAGAAAAAAAATCTAAAAATTGTAATTAAAAATTTTCAAAATTTTAAAGAAATTAAAATCAATACCAATAAAATAGAATAGTTGTTAAATTAGATTAGATTTCAAAATATATTGCTATTATCTAAATATTATGAATTTTAAAATTAAAAAATATAACCATCCAATCAAAACATAGAAAAATAAAGAAAAATTCAAAAATTTCTAAAAAAAAAAAGATAAAATAGAATAATCAAATAATAGAGTGCCAACTCACATCATTTTGCTTTAGGATTATATATATATATATATATATATATATATATATATATATATATAATATATTATATATTGAATATCTGGAATTTGCGTGGCTACCTTAACTTCCATCCAAAATATTTGAAACTAGAAAAATAAAAAGTAAAAGAATATATCTTGGATAAATATAATCATATATTTGAATATTGGAATTTGCGTGGCTACCTTACTTCCATCCAAATATTTGAAACTAGAAAAATAAAAAGTAAAAGATATTATCTTGATAAATATTAATCTTACAATCCAAATAGAATTTACACTTTTATTAATAAAATATAAAATAAAAGGGAAAGAAAAGAGAAAAGGATGCAAAACTTATAACTTTTAGCAACAGATAAGAATTCTGTTGCTAAACCTTTTGTAGCCAATCCTTACTGACGGGAAAAATGAATGAATTTAGGTTATAACTTTAAAAACATATAAATATTCCGTTGCTAATCTGTTTGTAGAACCTGCTCTTAGCAATGTAAAAAAGAATGAAACAAGATTTGATAATCAATTAAAATAATCTAATTAAGGAAACTAATATAACTAATATAATTAAAAATTATTATATAATTTTAGTCAATTAATAAAATTAAAAATTTCTAATTAGAATATAATTAAATTATCTTTAATAACACAACAGGAAGAATATAAAATATAGACAGTAATGTTTGATTGACAATGAGTAGTAAGTATTTATTATTTAAAGTACTTTTGTTTTGCATTGTAAAAAAAAAAAAAAGAAAAGAAAAGAAAAGAAAAAGAAGAGAAGTAGAAGAAATTGGTCATAGTCTAAAGTTATATATGACTTGTCAATTACAAAAGTTTGAGTTTTCCTTGTACTCATACATCAAGACAGTGAAATTCTTGCCCCAAACTCTTCTTAGGGGACTTGAATTTCAAATCTCAATAATTGGATATTTCCTTGATTACAATTCTATGTTCATGCTTCATGAACAGGAACATTTTGATTCTTCTATAAACCTTACAAGAGAGGAACTTGTATCCATAAGAGAAGGTAGAGAAAATGAAAATAAAATAAGAAAAACCTAAAATTTTTAGTGTCCTTAAACATTAGCCACCGACTCCAAGCTCTCTCTTGCAGAATCTTCTAACCGTTTAGCAGTTTTTTGAACCTGCAGGAAAGCATTAAGTATTACGAATGATGGAATATATAATTAAACTTTTTTTTAAAAAAAAAAGTCATAATCATTGTATTTTTTTTTTTTTAGTATAACTAAGAGATTAGATAGTAATTTACACTCAAAATTATGAATTCTTCCATAATATATTGTCTTGTTTTTGTATTATTATTGATTTTGTTCGGTATATTTAAGTAAATATAGATGAAATAAGTAATTTAAAAAAAAATATATTTATGGAATTATTAGGCGAAGTGGGCTTAGGCACATGGATAAGCTAGCCAATTGGCCCATTGGGCCTAAAAACAAAAACTCACCTCTGCATCCCAATTAGTCCTTGCAGTAAGAATAATTAAAGTTATTGTCTGGAAAAGAACTCCAATGATAATTCCCCACCAAATGCCCTGAAATTAAATAATTAAGAAATGGATTTATTGGTTTAATTTATAAAATAGAAAAAAGCTTAGAAATAGGGAGCAGAAGCTTACTGCTACTCCTAAACTGGTTTTGAAACCAAGAACACATCCAATGGGGAGCCCAATTATATAGTATGTGGTTAAATTAACATAAGCCACCACTGCTTGCCATCCACTCCCAATAGCCACACCTGCCATCCAAAAAGGAGTTTAATTTGAGGGATCGTTTATCTAATCCTCTAAATTTTTCAAAATATAATTTTTCTCCCCAAAAGTTGTATTTATATTTTTAAAAATATGCATATTCGCTCGAGAAAAGAACTTGATTAGCGAATTATAAATACGAGAAATTCTTACCGGAGAGAATCGGTTGAACCCCATTGAGGAGAACGGAGATGGCAAGCAGAGGAGTGAGATCAGAAACTGCTTCTATAACCTCAGTATCAGTTGTAAAGAGTTTGCTCAATCCAACTTTAAAGGACAGCACAAGAATACTAAAAATGACACTTATAATTAGGCTAGTCCCATTCACTACAAACACTGAAAATTTTGCAACCTTAGGATGCCCTGCCCCTAGCTCATTGCTTACTCGAACACTGCATTTTCATCAATATTAATTTCTTAAAAATGGGTGTAATAGTAATTTCCCAATCAAATTCAATTAAAAAAATTGAAAAGAATGTCACCAACCTGGTTGCTGCAGCTAGACCAAGCATAAATTGCATGTCCCAGTTCAAGTAATTCATGCTGGAGAGAATGAAAGATGTTATGATTTCACATTACAAGGTTAGAGACACAACATTAATTTAACAGAGTTATTTTCAAATCTTAAGCAATTTGTTACATTGACCGGTAAACCTTTATTTTGCTTGGTCTATGGATTTACAAGATATTTTTTTTTATTAAAAAGATGATATTTTTGAAGAAAAAAATTTAAAATAATTTTTTAAAAAAATCTATTTTCATTGGTTTAATCCATCACTTATACACCAAATTTAAGCAAGTTTAATCCATTTTTTAATTATGCATTATTATACTCATTAACTTATTAATTTTAATTTATTCAAAAATTATTCCATGATTAAAACATAAAATTCACGAAAATTTCATTAATAATAGTTTAAAAAACCTCAAGAAATGGAAGATAGGAAAATTTATTTAATTTTCTTTAGCTATAAATATATTATATTTGACTTGGTGACTTAAAATCTTGACTCCACCACTATCACTGTCACGTAAAAAAAAAAATATCAGAAGAAAATGTCCCACAAATATATATTGAGAATTAAATTGTCGGTACTTCATAGTCAATAATAATAATAATAATAATAATAAAGCTAAAAATAGAGACCGGTCAAGGTAGTACCAAATAGAAATGGAGTCTAGACTGATTGTTGGGCTTGGTAGGAGACCTGAGATGAGTACCATTCCTTGGCTATACCATATCTCCAAACTACATTACCAAAAATACTCAGTAAAAAGGTCAGTTTTTTCTTGGTAAATAGTAAAAAGGTAACTATTATTTTCTTTTTCATGAAAAAAGAAAAAAATTGCATACCAAAGCATAACAGCAGAGGCAACTGTGAGCTTAAAGTAAGGCCAAATGCCTTTAAAAGCACTTATAGACAAGCCAGTCCAAGTGTCCTTGCAATTTGGGCTTAGAACAATATAAAGCCAATTTAAGATAACAAGAAGCCACCAAGACAAACTGAGTGTAAGAGCTGCCCCAACAAGCCCATAATCCAAAACAAAAACAACAAGCCAAGAAAGAAAAATGTGAACCAAAAATACTCCAACTGCCATATATGCCAAAGGATTCACAATATTCTGAGCTTGAAGAAACCTCTGCATAGGGCAACTAATGGCAAATGCATATATTTGGGGTATCAAGCCGTGGGCGAAAATCTGGCCTTGTGCGGCAATGTCCTCTGCTTGGCCGATAGCTAGAAGAACTGGGCCTGAGAACCAGTAGAGGAATGTCAGGAGTACTGCTGCTCCTAAGTGTAGAACTATTGCTCTTTGGCAAATTATCCCCATTGCTGAGTATTGCTTGGCTCCATAGGCTTGTCCACACACTGTCTGCACAGCACTTGCCATACCAAGCTGCAGGAGGAAAGCAAGAATTTAAAAAACGCTAAACGCTATTTTTTAGTTTTCGGTAATACAATATTTGAAATATAAAAAGTTAAATAGCATTTTATGAAATATTACTCAAACAACTAACAGCTTGCCAAAACAGTTAATTTTTCTTTTTATATGATTTTAATCATTTTTGCAAATTAAACTCCGGTTAACACTTCCAAGCACTAATCTTTCACATCCACAGAATAATGGAAAAAGGAAAGGTAAATACATACCATAATCCCATAAGCAAGGCCCTGAATTCCAACATTGGCAATAGAAGCACCAGCAAGTTCAACAGCACCCAAATGACCACAAAACATTTGGGTTACAAAACTAAGCATAAAATTGAATATAGAAACAACAATAGAAGCCCCAGATAATGACCATAATAGCCTTGATTCCCATAACACAAGCCTATGCCACCATCTAAGTGGAACTTTCCTTTGGTCCAAGAAATCCTCAATAGCCTCAGAGGACAAGTCTGGAATTCTTGAATGTGAGTCTAGTGTTGGTAACAGGGCCTGGTACTCTGTTGTTGACCCCATGATACTTTGTATGTATAGAAAGAACAAAGAAGAGAAGGGGGTCTTAGTTGATATTATATTTGGGTTGTATTTATACTATTATGTCCATGTAAAATTTTGAAGGTGATTTTTGAATTAAAGATATTTTTCAAAAGCTACCATTCAATTGTTGGAAGAGTAGCCAACTAATTTTTTTATTTTTTTATTATTATTTAGAGAATAGAAGAGTAGATAATCTAACACTGTGTTACTTTTTGTCAACTACTAACATTTAACATGGAAGTACTAGAAATCTTTATTGAAAAAATGGCGGCTTCAAAAAGCTTAATAACACGTGTCATTTTCTTAAGCTATTAATAATATGTGGCCCCCATCTTATTTCATTCAATAATTTATGACTATGAAATATGAAGTTTATATAAATAAATATATAAATAAATAATTCTGTAGTCCTGTAATAATATTTGTATAACATAGTATTACGTTAATATTCCAATTCAATCAAGACAATAGAATCTTAAAAAAAAAAAAAAGTAATACAGTTTTTTAATTTCATTATTTTCTGATTCAGATATTAATAGCGCCTCAATTAATATCGATAACAATATTACATATTTTTTTAATTCATTTTCCAATAATTAATTACATTAATATGTCATTAATATTATTTTAAAAATGAAATTTCCATTTTCTGTTTTCTAATAATTAATGAAATTAATAATATCATTAATATTACTTAAAGTTCTAAAAACTTCAGGATTGTTTTCACATGGGTTAAAATTTTTTTTAGTGTGCTTTTATTTTCTATTGCTATTCACTTCGAAATTTACATTGACATTATAATATTTCAACTTCATATTGTAAAATGAATTATAGATTTCTAAGGCATTGGAATTCAATTAGTAAATCCAAAAAATTAAAGTTCATATTTTAAAACTTTGAAATATAATAAACAAAAAGATGAATAGTTAATTATGCATTATTATTTGAATTTTTAAAATTATAAAAAAAAAGCACGTGCCCATTAGTAGTAAATAATAAAATTAACAATCCCATAGGCTAAATGCTAATTAGACTAATCTTGATTAATAATATAATTTTTCTATGCTTGGTGAAGCATGATCAAAACACTTCTAAAAATTAAAAGTTTTGATATTGGTTACATGTTTTATATTCTACAATTTCCTTCATAGAGATATATTAAATTTTTTCATATTGTTATAAATCATTTTTAAAGTTAAAAAAAAAAAAATATCTATATATAAATTTTCATTGGCTCCTATTTTAGGCGTAGTAGCTCGCTGACTAAACTGAACTTGGAACGCGACCGTTTGGTTTACAAAGATGACTGGGGATAAAACGTGGGCACTTACTCTTCATTTTTACGGCAGGTGGGAATGACACCTTTATTTTTTTTTATTTTTTTATTTTTTTTTATTACCAAAAAAGCATATAATTTTAGAAGGCCGGATTTGGATTCTAATGAAGAACAGCAAATTAGGCTCTTTTTTTTTTTTAATACATGAAAAGTTTAATAAACTAGAATAAGGCTTTGAATTGTGAGATTCTATTTGATGATTCTATTTGTTTTTCTGAAAGAAGAATAGTATATATAGTTTTTTTTTTTTTTTTTTTTAAACTAGAATAAGGCTTTGAATTGTGGAGATTCCATTTTGAAATGATTCTAAATTTGTTTTTTCTGAAAGAAAGAATAATATATATAGTTTTTTTTTTTTTTTTTTTTTTTTTTTTTTTTTTTTTTTTTTTTTTTTTTTTTTTTTTTTTTTTTTTTCTGAAAGAAGAATATTTAATTTTCTGAAATACTAATAAACATAATGCAGTCTTGTTATAAGAAGAGGGAAAGTTATATATATAGTATTCATTTTATGTCCAGCGTTGGATCAGTTGGAAGGTTCCTTCAGCGGTTCTTGTAAACTGAACTGTGATGGCTCGGTGAAGAATGGTCAGGCGTTTGGCGGAGGTGTCATTCGAAATGATGAAGGGTTTCGGGTGGGAGGTTTCATAGCGAATTTCGGTCATTGTTCTGTTCCGGCAGCGGAGCTGTGGGCTTTGCTTGAAAGGCTAAGGCTTGCTAAAAGCTTGGGTATTCAAGGTCTTCACGTTGAATGTGACAGTGAGGTTGTGGTTAAAATCATCCACCATGAGATGTCTCCTGCAGCAAGCCTTTTCCCTTTAATTTCCTTGATTCGGCAGTTTATGAGAGAGGATTAGGTTGTTAGTCTCCAGCAAGTTTACCGTGAAGCCAACTACTGTGCGGATCACCTTGCTGCTCTTGCTGCAACTGTTCCTTTGAGTGTTCATGTCTTATCCCAAGTTATCTGTTTCCCTAGAGAAGTGGATCATGCATGATTTATGTGGCACTGCTGATTCTAGGGCCTGTGCTTGCTGCTATACCAAAATTTCTTAATCTTTCTTAATCTATTTGGTCTTTGTATAGTGTTTCTTGATTAAACTCATACACCATATATATAAATTAATTCAGTTCCCCTCAGAACTTGGTTTACAACATCATATACTTCGTATCAAGATAATAGTTCAAGTAGTTAACAAGAATGGCTGCTGCCATTATAGGAATCTCCTAACTTCTTCAACAATTTGAAATAACTACATATATAATTATTAATTTCTCATCAAACTTCAGTTTGTCGTCCAATTTAAGAGGTAATATCAAGGTTTCCTAACTATTGACGCATAAACAGTAGCTAGAGATTTAATTTCTTCACAAAGAATTGATTCTAGAGCAAATCCTACAATTAAATTCCAAAAGGATCAATTATAATCAAGGGGAAGACCGGAAAATCCCTCACATAGTCGCAAATCGCAAACACGCCGTAAATCATAAATTTCTGGGTAGGGCGATAGGCAGCAGCTTTTTGGTCCAAACCCCGCTTCTGTTTACGTTAGCTTGGCCGGAGAAAGGAGGAGTGGTGGACGGGGAGTGCTGGCAACGAGATGAAAGGCGGTTCGACCAGCACTTGGCTAGTTTCACCGAAAAAACCAAAAGTAGCGGCTGAAGGAGTCTGTGCCGATAGGAGTAGCTCAGCCCGAAAGCTCCCGTTACTGCGTTAAACGGGACTGAGACAGAATAAGAGAAGGACCAGAGAGACGCCGTCAAAGAGTGAAGTCGACCGGTTGAGCTCGAGTCGTCGGAAAATCGGAGAGGAAGCTGAAATGGGACTGTCTCGATCGAGATGAAGTCGCAGCTTCATCGGCGATTTGCGCTCACCAGAAATGGAAATAAGAGAGAGAGAGAGAGAGAGAGAGAGAGAGAGAGAGAGAGAGAGAGAGAGAGGAGAGAGAGAGAGAGAGAGAGAGAGAGAGAGAGAGAGAGACTTGGAGGAACCGCGCGACTGTGAACCCCCTCCCAAAACATCAGATGCATGAAAAAACGCATGTGATTAAGGAAGAATGCACGTGATTGTGTGAGTGCCACCTTGTTTGATTATTTTAGGGTAAACTAGGAAAAACCCTAAGTGACTCCAATTTTAATTAACCTAATTACTAGATCAATTATCCCACCAATGTTAAGGCATGGTCTACGAACCCGAGGTGGATCCCGAGACTATGTCATGCTGATGAACTAACCAAAACAATGAATGCTTTGCAGGGTAAAATCATGTAATTGGACCAATGAAAAATGTTTATGTGATTGCGACTTGCCACTCAGGGTTAAATCCCTAACGTGCCTACGTACTTCCGTTTGAATGGAAGATCAGAGTCAACGTAGTTCGATGTGTCTTTTTAAAAGGGCTTTGAATGGGTATGCTTAATGCATGGGTGTGTGTATGCTTCGTGCATTTTGTTTAGGCATTTTGCCAAAGACTTGATTGGCATTTGTTGCCAAATAGGTTGGTTTTGGGCAAATTTGATTGACAAAATGATTGATTTAGCGATTGTCGCCAAAAACGATTGAATTTTAAGGCTTTTAGCCAAAAAGGGTGATTAGGCAATTTTGAATTGCCCAAAAATTGATGCGATTTAGGCGATTGTCGCCTAAATGCTGGATTTTAAGGCTTTTAGCCAAAAGGAGTGATTTAGGCAATTGGATTGCCAAAATGATTGATTTTAGGCGATTGTCGTCAAAATGATTCATTTTAAGGTTTTTAGCCAAAAAAGAGTGATTTAGGCAATTTGATTGCCAAAATGATTGATTGGGCGTTTGTCACCAAAATTGATTGACCTAAGGAATTTATTTGCCAAAAGCAATTGTTTGAAGGCTTTTAGCCAAAAATTGTGATTTAAGCGATTTGTCGCTAAAAGGTGGTTAATCTAATTCATAGGCAATTTGTGCCAATTTGTTTGCCAAAAATTGATTGAAACCGTGGGCAATTTGTTGCCAAAATGTGTTAGTTAATTTGTAAAGGCAATTTGGTTGCCAAAAGTGATTGATTAAGGCTTTTTAGCCACAATTATTGAATTAATTGGACTTAAGCCAGGCTGTTTTCGAAAATAAAGGCATTAACCGTAGATACCATAGTCATTAATTGACCAGATACTTTAGTCAATATTGTCGGATTTAGGCTTTAACACCACGATTATTAATTAACAGGGCATTTAAGCTTAATCATATTTAATTGAGGCCGTTTATTTGCCAAATTGATGATGTGAATGCATTCATGCAGCAGTTTAGTTCAGAATTGGAGTAGAAGAAGAATATGCACAAAATGCTGAAATTAAACAGGCAGAGTTTCGTTATTACCTGAGTTAGTCGCCGGCCGCTTCTTAGCTTCAGCTTGAAAATTCTAGATTAAGCTCCTCGTTTGGGGAATATTAATTAGAATTAAATCAATTAAGTGACCAAGTATCACAACAGTAGAATAATAAAAGCAAGCAAGTAAAGAATCGCAAAGAAGCGAAGGGAAAGGAGCGTCCATCACCAACACAGACTGAGTGGGTAAAAACGGAGGGCCCAGGGCCAATTTTATAGGAAAAAAGGAGACCCGAGGGCGGTCCTGCCCGCCCTTGAGGGCGGGCGTGCCCGCTTCAGGGGGGCGGGCGTGCCCGCCCTTGAGGGAGGGCTGGCCTGCCCAGGGGGGGCGGCATGGGGCGGGC